GAAACACTAATGCATGCCTTGCAACTTTAACCATATCCTTAGGGAAATGATTCGTCATGGTGACTTCGTTATATATTTAGAGCATTTTCTTGTTAGCTGGCGTTGTTTTGATATTATATATATATATATATATATATATATATATATATATATATATATATATATATATATATATATATATATATATATATATATATATATATATATATATATATAAATGGTTTTCATACATTTCAAGTAAACGGTAGTCATAAGAGAGTTGTTAGCATAACTCTATGCTACTCTCACCTTTCAAATTTCTTTACATGTTTTACTTGATTTTAGCAATAAAATACATAAATTGTAAAAACAATTATCAGCTTGTTTTTACATTTTACCTTTTTGAAGTCCAGAAAGTGAAAATGTCCCAGCGGAGTCAACAGATTGTTATCGTACACATTTGAAGTAATACTGAGGATGCTGCAAAGAACCCAAATTACACCCATCAATCATTCACCAAAGTAAGGGAATTATAAGGTCTTTTAATAATATGTATGACATAAATAATCTTTTCCAAATAGTCAGGATTATTAGCAAGGAAAACCTGAGCAATTTGTTTCCTTTATAAATTATACCTTATGTAAGAAACTGTTGAGTGCATCCTTACGCTGTTAGTGATAAGGCGTCACTGTCACGCATTGAAGTCATTATGACTTAATAACAACTATGGGATGGGCTCAGGGACATTTCATATTACCTATTATTTACTTCCCAAGTTATTTTCTAGTATGCGATGCAAAACATCTTTCCAATTAATGTCCTTAAAGTGTTTATTACGGGCTAGTCAAATGAGATGACATAATCACAGCAGAAAAATTCAGCAAGTTTCTCTTTTCAAAGACGAACTCCCAAGATATCATTTTTTTTTTACGGATATTTTACAAATAGTTAAGAAATAAGTACCATGATGCATTCTGTTTTTACCTTGTGTACTTTAGAGTGCCGTTTTCCAGTGATTTTCTTCTTTTGATTATGTAGCACTCAGCTGAAGTAGTCTTATTCAACCAGACACTGTTATGGTTTCGTGAGATCTCTATGAAACGAGAAATTAAAAGAAGAAGAAACAAAAAGTAATTAAAAAGTGACTTTTCATCAAATAGCCCAAATGAGCCTTTAAGGAAAATAGGAAAAGCTGTTTCATTGAACAATGGGATTGACCAATGTCTTACGTAATTGTGATGATATGATGACGTAAAACACATGGAACTTTTTTAAGAAAAGTTTGAGACACATTTTCTACAACAGAGAAGATATGTTCAATATTATTATGGTTTCAATACTTGCTGATAATATGAAGAGAAAAGTTTGACATTTGTTGAAATATCTCTGTTGTTTCACTTCTACACACTTTTAATCTTGCGTCTTCATGTCGGTAATATAAATCAGTGAAACTCTCACGGGATCTGGTTGAACGAGACTAATTCGGAGTGGAATTTTATTGTGAAAAAGACATCCATGTACTGCTCGAAAGCGTTTTCATCACAACGGAAATGTCATTTTGTAGTATCAACAATAATAGCGTCAACTATTACAATAGTGTTGGTTGCTGTTGTTTTTTTTATGCAACTGCCCTATATTGTTGTAAGAAAAGCGTTTGCCGCACACGAGTCCCACTATCTAAAAATCGTTCTAGATGTATTTCCTAATATCGTATTCATTATTTATAGATTGAACTTAAATGCTAATTTAAAGGAAATGTTACCATCCTTAATATGTTGTCAAAAACCTTTACATTAAATACATTAAACCGCATCTTCACAATTGCACGTCATTTCAGTACTCTATGGCTTCTGTAGCCTTATATCGATCCTACAAAATGTTACATGTGATATTCTTCAGATTAATTTAAATTCTTTTATGTCATAATTATTTAAACAGTAGTTATATAAATGTCATAATTATTTAATCCGTAGAATATGAGTTTGGCTTTACTAATCTAGCCTTTATTTTTTAATGAACACACACACATACACACATACACACATACATATATAACATGTCAATAAATGTTGTTTGGGGTATCTCAAATCTCCAGAGGCTTTCTTTCAAAACTAATGTAGGAACATAAATAGGGGGCGAAGAAACCGTTTGAAATGCTTTGTGTTAGGGATACCATCTTGTTGAATGACATATGACTTTTCCGTCGACTTGCCATATCAATAACAGGTGAGGCAGCCTCTACATCATGTCACCCCCACTTAATTCGCGATGATTTAAAATCCACCCCAGCTTTCTTGTAAAGCCCACAGTTGCAGTTCGTTATTTATACCCTAATTTATACTGATTTAAGACCACCTTTCAAGCCGGTAAAAGGTATCGTGATGATATAAAATAGGATGGGGGCAGACCCTAAGTACACCGCAGCGACAGAACGGCTTATGAAGAATAAATGAGAAAAGTCAGACAAGGAAAGATTTAAAACACCAACCTTTAATTACAGCGACATAAATATTATCAAAATGGTAGTTATTGTCAAATCTTGGCCATAAATTTTGTTTCAAGTATTCAAAAAACATCAATAAAGTGAGGT